CTCTCCAGGTAGTATGATCTTCAACAAACGGGTTTCCGCCAGCTCAATCGCCCGTCGAGCTAACTGCGGTCGCCCCAGATTTTATGCATGCCGCCGTCATAGCCATATCAGGACTACAATAAAAAAAAAATAAAAAAAAAAAATAAGACTCGATTTTATTGTCACTAATTAAAAAAAAAAAGAATTCAGACGTTTATGCAAGATATCTAAATAAAACTCGATTCGACACTCAAACATCAAGAAAAGACGAGTAAGAACCGAAAAGTAAATACCTGGCCAAGAACCACCGTTATGGTAGCTCCAGCTCGTATTCTTCGGATCGCACCCCGTCACGATCCTCCACTCGTGACTCTCCATAGCCGGATAACATATCTTCAACGGCATCTCACCGACCAACTCATCCCAACGCGACTCGATAAGATCCATAATCGCCGAAGCTTGGTCGGGCGTCGCCAAAGACGACAGAATGGCGACGCAATTCCCCAAGCAGAACCAACGGAAGTCCATCCTAGCGGGGCTCACGTTGCCTATGAAGTACCCTCCGCGCGTCGGCATGAAATCGAACACCCAGTCGGGAAGCGAGTCGGGCATTACATTGAACTTGTTGACCGCCGTGTGGGAATATTCCTCCGTCTTGTAGCGGTAGATGTCGTTGAGCTGCTTGATGTCGAGCCAGAAGTAGTTGCGCATGTGGTAGCTTAGCGCGTGGAGGCGTTTCGAGATTACTTCCGCGCAGGCTTTGCCCTCTTCGTCTTGTTTGAGGAGGAGTAGCGCGCATCTTAGCGCCATGAAGAAGAGTGCTTGTATCTCTATCGGATATCCGTAAACTCCCTGAAAATACGGACGTATAAACAATTTAAATCATATATTTATATATGGGTAAATTACAACCACCCCTGAGGGTTGGTCAATTTACAAAAAAACCCCTCTTGTTTGGATCCCTCAATCATGATTTTTTCTTACACCTCCACCCTTATGGTGTCAAATTCAACATAATCATGTAGATTTCGTGGAATGTGCTCTAGTTTGTACTCGTTTTGTAAAATTACAATTTCTGATGCACCACAATCTGATACAATCTGATATATACAAGCCAAAAAACACATATTATGATCATCTTGCTTCAAAATGTGGAGTTCAAATGGGATAAAACGGGCAACAAAAGTGATAATATTCCATATAATCTCGAAGATTCCACTAAATTTGAAACCGCAAGGGTGGACGTGTAAGAAATTTTATAGTTGAGGGGTGGGTGGGTGCTCGTAATTATCCAAACAAGAAGGGGGTTTTCGTAATTTAATTATATATATATATATATGTGTGTGTGTGTGTGTGCGTGTAAATATATGCTCACCATTCTCCGATCGATCATGCTGCATCCATCGGCACACAATAAAGTGGGGAAAGTATCGAAGCCTTCAGACAAGCACAATGTCATTATCAGTCTAATGCCACGCTGGCACTCGGGCAATTCGGCCAAAGAAGTGTCCCCGGTTGACTTTGTATACGCTCGCAAAAGAATAATCCACCAAAAGCCGGAATCGACCGGAGCAACTCTGCCGATTGCACACTCCCCGAAATCCGCAATGATGGTTTCGGAATTTCTTACAGGGTCGTGAAGTACCTTAAAACTTGCTGGCATTACACCCGCACCTAAAGTGAAGTTGTCCACTTTCTTCTCCCACGATTGGAGCCGAAGTGTTTTCAGAAGAAAGTTCTTCACGATTTCGGGCTCGCCGTTCATTAAGAAGGCTAGTGCACTTGGAACAAAATCTCTTACAAAAACCTGTCACCGTTAGACAATATTAATTTTTTTTTAAAAGAGATTTTAAAAAAAATGCAAAAACAACTTAATTGCTTTTTAGCACCCTTGTGTTTATCTGAATTGCTAAAAAACTCCTCGTGCTACAAATATTAGCAAAAACAACCCCGACAATGCATTTCTTTTGGCACACAACCCCCTAAATGGTGCGTTTATAGAGATAATTTGCTAATAAAATTGAATTGTAGGGGGATTTTGCTAATAAAAAAACCATGGATTCTCAACGCCGATCAAATTTCGCACATAAATTAGGCGTTACTCGTAGATAATTAAATAATCATAAATTTTTTTTTTTTTTATATATATATGAAAAGCTTCTTTACCTGATCATAGTTAAGTTCCTCACTGGAATGATCCAAAGCAGCAATAGTGCCGACAGGCTGGCCACGGAAATGAACGATCGATCTCTGCAAAGCCACCCACGCATCCGCCACTATGGGATGCGTCTCGACGCAGTGAAACGACCTGGGCGTGCTGACACCGGAATGTATACTCCCAAAGCTCTCGAAAACACGAGACGAGTTCTCGTTGTTCTTGTAGAAGTTACGGGGCGGGGACGAAATGGACAATTCACTAATGGATCTCTCGTCGAACGATCTCTTCCTCTCTATGTTGACCGCCCTCGGCTTTTCCAGTAGTCGAGACAAGTCCGATTCGCCGATTTCGAAAATCGATGCGGCCGAGTCGTTGCGCTTGAGGTTCCCGTTTTGACCGCCATCGAAAGTTGGAGCCATCCTTCAAAACAAAAAAAAAAAAAAATCAAAATAAATAAAGATCTGTTTTTGGTGAAGATGAGTGCTTTAATTTCTTAAAAGTCAACCAAAAAAAATTTATGAAGGGTTTGTAAGAACAAGCACTTAAAAAGTCAACTCTAGTGGTTAATTCCAAGGTCAGAGGTGTGTGCATATGTAAGAAGAACAAATCAGAAGCATGGCTAACTAACACTGTCTTAATTTAAGGATTTAAAAAAAAATACTCAATTAATTAATAAACATCCAACCGCAGAATGACAGTGAGCAACAAAGATCTAACGGCGGTGGTTAGCTACGACTACGATTGGATTTCTTCAATTCATAAACCCTAAATTAAAATTCATAACTTTGTTATTTGAACTGAATCTGAAAAATTAAACCATCAACCTAATCCACAAACCACCATATTTCATTTTAATTCATACTCTGCACATGAAGTCATGAATAAAATGCGCCAGAACACAATTAAATCAAAAAAAAAATTAAACTCATAAAATAAATAAATTAAATAAATAATAAAAAAAAAAGGATAAAAATTGAGGAGAAGCTAACTAACCTTGTGGGAGGAGATTTCAGTATACTGAGTGAATAGAGAAGAAAGACTCAAAAGAAGGTGTTATATAATGAGAGGAGAAAGACTTTGTGGAGAACGAGGCAATTATTTATATGTGCATGTAGGAGACTGACCGGGTTATCCGGTTGCTGATTTTGGTGGAAACTTGGTATTGCCGGTAAATACTGAATTATCCCACCAACCGACAGGGATAGGTGACCGGCGCCACGTAGGATTTTATGGGAAGGTCCGAACAACTGGATTTGGGGAAATCCCCCGGTGACTTGTCGTTTTGGTAAAACGTTTTTAATTTCTATATCCAAATTCGATTTATTTATTTCATTTTTTTTTTTTTATTATGGAAATGGCTGGAAAGTACCTGTTGCTGCTAGAGTACGTAAACGCTCTCTACTCGCTTGTCCTGTAAGAGAGTAGCGGATGTAGATTTGGGTTTAGGGGCGAGTGATTCTCACGCGCGACTGGTGGTCGGGGTGTGTGTGTAGATTTTTCCACATAGCGATATCTTCCATGAGATTTCCTCGGCGGACACAAACTTGGAATGGGATCGTACGGCTTCGTCTGGTTGTTCGAATTCCACGTGGCGAGCATCGGGTGCTTCAGGGTAAAACTAAACTTTATTGTTCGAATTAAATTTACACAAATTATATAGGTTTCAAAATTATATTTGCATTCAATTTAAGGTAAATATCACTTAGTTTTATTTTTGTGCACATGACCCCTTATGGACAAATCATATTTTGCATTAGATTCTAATAAATTTAATCTTAGAACTTAATATAATAAACCAAATATGCTGCTGACTAAATAGTTAGTTAGTTAATAGATATTGGAATAATTTAATCCAATCTTTACAAGCAAACGAGGCCTTAGTAAATAGTAAATACTTATGCTTAGAAAGATGAAAATTTTAAAATTACAAAAGAATTATGTACCTATATTAAAATAAAAGTGGGTTGGTCATGTGGTATATATGAATTTAGTTGTTTAAAAGACTAGAGTGGGGAGAATTACATTTTTAGTTCCTTAACTTTTAATCCGATTTCACTTTTAGTCCATGTGTTTTGAGGTGAACAAATTCCGATATCTATTTATCGATTTGTGACATTTTTTATTCACTATGTTAGTTGACCTTTCATCACTAACAAACATACCAAACTAAAATTAATAGTTATAGTTAATTTGGGGCTAAAAAGTAAAGGACTAGACTGCAATTCAAAATTATAGCTAGGGGGGCTTGAAGAATTCCCCGATTGGTAAAGACTCTATCCGCATTTCACCCCATCAGGGAACAAGTGCAGCAACGCAAGATTTCGAAAACGTTGTAGATGTACCGCGGGTCGTACGTCCGTGCCATCGTATTCGAAATCCACCTGTCCAAAACTATGAGACGAACTTGTCCCTCATTACCTGATCCGTGAACGGGCCCGTAATACCGGCTCGTTTTCTTTAGCTTGCACCGGGCAGTAAATAATGTTAAAGAAGTGTTAATATATATATATACTTTGTATATTGATAAATGTAGGTGTATTTTTACTTTCATGTTATATAGAAGTTGTTATTATTAAATAGCACTTCTTGATTAGTTAAAAACACGTTTTTACATATTGGATATAAATATCCAATCCCTTCACATTGTAACGGTAACTTTTCACAATTCTGTTAGACAATGAAGTCTTCTTCTTCCCCGTATCTTCTTCTCCCTATCTTCTTCTTCTTCCTTCATACTGGTAATCAGTAGGTTTACATGGTACCAGATTAGTAATTTGATTTTTCGCTTCCGCACATTCTTCAATTGATCAGATCGCCATAAATTTCTTCAATTGCTTTTCAATTCGACACTTTACGAGTTCTGATTTCTCATATCCATGGCGGCAAATCGACGAGTTGATGATGTTTCCAGTCCGTTTTATTTACATCCGTCCGATGGTCCTGGGTTAGTTCTCGTTTCGCAGCTACTCTCTGAAGATAACTTTGCCTCTTGGAGTAGAGCGATGCAGATTTCGCTTACGGTGAAGAACAAGTTAGGGTTCATCAATGGTACAATCACTGAACCGAGTCGAGACGAAGCTGTTCTTCACAATGCCTGGGTACGAAATAACATCATCGTTATTTCGTGGATTTTGAATGCTGTGTCACAAGATATTCAGGCCAGTATCATGTACTCTGATTCTGCTCACGAGATGTGGAAGGATCTCAATACCAGGTTTTCACAAACAAATGGTCCGCGAATTTTTCAATTACGTCGGGAATTGTCTAATCTGACTCAAGATACACAATCAGTTAATGTGTATTTTACGAAATTGAAGGCTATTTGGGATGAATTATCCAATTTTCGACCCTCTTGCACATGTGGAGCTTGCACTTGTGGTGGTGTTCAGAAGCTTAATGAACATTACAATTTAGAACATGTAATGGCGTTCCTCATGGGGTTAAATGAGTCTCTTACTTCCACACGTGGCCAAATTCTTCTCATGGATCCATTGCCGCCTATAAACAAGGTTTTTGCTCTTGTATCTCAAGAAGAGAGGCAGAGGTCTATTCATTCTTCCCATAATGAAGTGCAGAATTCCTTAGCCTTTTCAATTCGTGGTGATCAGTCTGTTCAACGGTCTGTTCACAATCAAGTTTACACATCTGGACCTAAAAGAAAGGAAAGAGGATTTTGCACTCATTGCAACATCTATGGGCATACGATTGATAAATGCTACAAGCTACATGGATATCCCCCTGGTTATAAAGCAAAACCAAGATACTCTTCTTTGCCTCAAAGCAGATTTTCTGTTAATCAGGTGTCTGCCATGGAGTCTCCACTCGATTATGCAACTTCAGGGAGTACTTCTCAATCACCTTTTGTTTCTTCTGACCCTGTTTTGGCTAACATGTCTGCTGCTCAATGTCAGCAATTGATGACATATTTTTCTAACCAAATGGCTGCCAAGAAACAGGTTCCTACTCAGCAATCTCATGGTGATGAGGCTGAAGTTGCACATAGTTCTTGTGTGTCAGGTATCTGTTTAGCAGCTTCTCTTCATGCATCTTTTCAGCCTCATTATTGGATCATTGATTCTGGGGCTTCTAGACATATATGTAATGATAAAACTTTATTTTCTTCTCTTCATAAAGTCAATTTTGCTAGAGTTATTTTACCAGATTGTTCTCTGGTTGTTGTTGAGTATATGGGAGATGTGTGTTTATCAGATGATCTGATTTTGAAAAATGTTTTTTATGTTCCTTCTTTTAAGTTCAACTTAATATCTGTCAGTGCTTTGCTTGACAATTTACCTCACACAGTTATTTTTGATTCTACTTCCTTTCTTATTCAGGACAAGTTCTTGAAGAAGATTGGCAAGGGTAGCAAAATTGATGGTTTATATGTTCTTCAGCCTCACAATGTTTTTACTGATATTTTTTGTAATACAGTTTCTGCCACTGTTTGGCACAATAGACTTGGGCATATTCCTCAGTTGAAGTTAGATATTCTGTCTACTAAATTTTCTTTAGCCATGGATAAGCCTAAGAGCAATTCTTGTTGTTACATTTGTCCTATGGCTAAACAAAAACGTTTGAAATTTCCTATTAGTTCTACTGTTTCTTCTCATATGTTTGATCTTATTCACTGTGATATTTGGGGGCCTTACAGAGTTGAATCTCACAATGGTTACAAATATTTTGTTACTCTTGTTGATGATTATTCTAGGTTTACTTGGGTTCATTTGCTAAAGTCCAAATCTGATGTTCTGACTGTTATTCCTGCTTTCTTTCATATGGTTAAAACTCAGTTTAACTGTAATATTAAGAGTTTTAGGTCTGATAATGCTCATGAGTTACAATTCACTCAGCTTTTCTCTCAGTTAGGTGTTCTTCATCAGTTTTCTTGTGTTTACACACCTGAACAGAATGCTGTAGTGGAGAGAAAACACCAGCACATTCTTAATGTTGCAAGATCTTTATTGTTTCAGTCTCATATGCCTCTCACTTTTTGGAATGAATGTATTTCTACTGCAGTTTTCTTGATAAATAGAACTCCTGCAGCTAAGCTAAATAATCTTTCTCCTTTTGAATTGTTGTACCCTGGTAAGTTGTTTGATTATAATTCTCTCAAGGTTTTTGGGTGTTTGGTTTTTGCTTCTTCATTGCCAGCCCAGAGGTCAAAGTTTCAGCCTAGAGCCAAACCTTGTGTGTTCTTGGGTTATCCAGTTGGCATTAAAGGTTATAAGTTGTATGATTTACAGTCTCATCAAGTAATTATTTCTAGGGATGTTGTTTTTCATGAACACATTTTTCCTTTTGGTGATCAAGATATGAATTTTGATAAGTATTCAGCTGCAGATTATTCTGTTCCACCATCTGTTGTACCTATTTCTACTGAGTCTGATATTGTTGCTGACTATCCTTCTAGTTCTGTTCCTCCACAGGTCACTGATTCAGTTCCATTACCTTCTCAGACTAGGAAGTCTTCCAGGAACACTAAGGCTCATGCCTATTTAGCTGATTTTAAGTGCAACTCTATTATTGGTTCCACTTCTCTTTATCCTATTTCTAATCAGGTAGCTTACCATAAGCTGTCTGCAGGTCATTTTGATTATGTCATGAATGTTTCAGCTGATACTGAGCCTTCCACTTATAAACAAGCTGTGAAGAATCCTTTATGGGTTCAAGCCATGGATGCTGAGCTTCAAGCTTTGGAAGATAATCATACTTGGACCATAGAGCCATTGCCAGCACATAAACACACTGTAAGTTGTAGGTGGGTGTATAAGATTAAAAGAAAGCAAGATGGCTCAGTAGACAGATATAAGGCCAGATTAGTTGCTAGAGGCTTCACTCAACAAGAAGGGATAGATTTTATTGATACTTTTTCTCCTGTTGCCAAGTTAGTCACAGTAAAGATTCTTTTGGCTTTAGCTGCTATTCATAATTGGGAGCTTCACCAATTAGATGTTAACAATGCTTTTTTGAATGGTGATCTTAAGGAAGAAGTTTTTATGGATATTCCTCCAGGATATAAGCATTCCTCTACTGCTTTGTTTAATTCTAGATTAGTTTGCAAATTGCACAAGTCCTTGTATGGTTTGAAACAGGCTTCAAGACAATGGAATCAAAAGTTCACTGAGGCAGTAACTTCAATTGGTTTTTCTCAGTCTCCTTCTGATCATTCTTTATTCACTAAAGGTTCATCTTCTCAGTTCATTGCTTTAATTGTCTATGTGGATGATATGATTATTGCAGGGCCTTCTCCAACAGAGATACAACAGGTTAAAAATCAGCTGCACTCATTTTTCAAGCTTAAGGATTTGGGAAAGCTCAATTTTTTTCTTGGTATTGAGATAGCTAGGAATTCAACTGGCATTGTTCTTTCTCAAAGGCAGTATGTTCTCAAATTGTTAGATGATGCTGGTTATTTGGGCTGTAAGCCAGCTTTGCTGCCCATGGATCCCAAGGCTAACCTCAATAATGAAGAAGGGGCTCTCCTTGAGGATGGTTCTGAGTATAGAATGTTGATTGGTAGGCTGCTTTATCTCACCATTACTAGGCCAGATATTACTTATGTTGTGCATAAGCTCAGCCAATATGTTTCCAATCCTAGAGTGCCTCATCTTCATGCCATTCATCATATCCTTAGATATCTCAA